AAAAACTAAACAAGAATGCTAAATAATTGTACTAAATTATGCAATTTCCTTTAATAAACCTAATCAGCTAACACATTGCTATAAATGTTTCAAGTTTCATTGTTTGCTGTATTTTCATTTTCATAGTTATATTCTTAGAAACRAAAGTTATTTTTCCCACAGGATTTGAATTAGGTGGTAACATACATGGCAACACATTAGGCCATGCCAATTAGCCAATTGGGTCTATTTGTTTTCTATTTTCATCTACACTAATATCAAATGTTGCAATTTCACAAGTTGGTCTAGTACTTTTTCACAATTTTAGGGTTTTTACTCTACTTTACCTTAAACTTCCATCTTGCACAGAATTTCTCTGTTTTTTGAGACTAAAAAGTAATGTTTTAAGATGGTCAAGATAAGTACACACAGATGTCCAATATGTTGTTCATAGTTTTATTGTGATAATGAAGTGCTCCATTTTTTTCTTCTGATTCTTCGTCAAGCTCAAACAGAGGTGAAGGATGCAAGCATGTTTAGCCTTGTCTACTGTGAGACTGTTTAAATTGTGTCAATGAGGGTGTTCATAATGTCCTAATAACTTTGATATTCTGTTTGTTCACCGTACCTGAGCTTCAGCAAACCATGCGTGTTCAAGGGCTTCGTCAGCTGTAATTCTTTTTTGAGGATTAACCACTAACAACTTGGAAATCTAAGGAAGGAAGTGAATATATCATTTCAATGACTCAAATCAACATCAACAAGGAGGAGTTAAGTACACTGCAACTCTGATCAACATGGAACAACATAATGATCAGAAATAAGAAATTTGTAATGAAACCAATACAAGAACAATATTATTTTTTCTGGGTTTCTCTTGCTTGTAGTGAGAATAGTGAAATAAACTAAACATAAAATTTGACCTTTTCTTATTCATTATTGTTTGGTAGCAAAATGTTGCTATTTTGTGCATGCAAACCAGGCTTATAATTCCATCAACATTATCATTATGATTAATATAATATAAACAATAAATAAAGATATCTAAAAAACAACTAGCGCTGTTGATCTGACATTGCTAAATAGCGCTATATAAATTATTAAATTATTATTATTAATTATTAAGATATCGCATCATTATTTGTTATCTTACCAGGTCCTTAGCATTACGTGATATTTCATCCCAATCAGGGCTGTTAAACTGGTATTTGCCTTGCATAATACTCCTAATCATAACAACTTGACGACGATGCCAAAATGGTGGAAACCCACAAAGCCTGAAAACAATGCATGACATTATAAAGTTACTCCAATGTGCCTTCAGTCAGACAGGTCAGTAGTAAGCATTCGTTAACAGAGTACAAAAGGCAAGCACTGGTCAGTCACACTTTGATCAACAGCATCATATAACATATTAAGCATCTATAAAAACCATATTTAGTACTTACAATGTATAGAGAATAACACCACAAGCCCACCTGCCAAGAATAAATAAAAGATAAAATCAAATCAAACATTAAATTAAACAAATGCCAGAGCTATTATCCAGTAAGATTAGTTTTTTAAAAAAAGCGCAAATTTGTTGACTTTTGGAATCATCCTAGGAATCCCACAGAAAAATGAACAATAGACCTAATTGGCTAATGACTTGCCAATTCAAATCCTGTGGGAAAAAAAGAGCTTTTGTTTCTGAATTCAACTGTATATGAATGAAAATACAAGGAACAATGAAAATTATTTCTGGGTGGTTTGAATTGGGTGGAAATGTTCGGGTTAGCCAATTAGGTCTATTAAAACAATATTGAGAATATGTACAACAACTTGCATAAGATTAAAGATTTTTAGTTCATCTTACATGTCGACTTCTCTGTTATACCCAGGTGCATCAGGGAACATTGAACACTGTAAGACCTCTGGAGCCAAATAGCCAGGTGTTCCACACAGTTCTTAAAAAAAACAGGTTTGGTTAATTGATAGACTGTGTATTCACCACTCCAGTGTAGGACCAACTTAAAGGGACATGGTCCACCAGCATCCCTTTCGAGCTTTTGCTCATGTTTGAAAATAAAGATACATCATAATATAAGCAAAAACCTACTATCCATTATCCTTTTATACTAATATGTGAATGTAGATACTGTAAGATTCAACCTTTAAACTGCTGGATGGAAATGGATTGGGAATGTATATTCGTTTCTGTATAATATGTAAAATCTAAAACACGACCACACTGAATTCTGGTGGACCATGCCCTTTTAAATGATACAATTAATGTACATATGATGCAGTAATGAAGTTAACCTTTTCACAAACAGTTTCTCTTATACAATCAATGGTTCCAATCAAAAACTTCAATAAAAGTTTTTGATAATTTTGTTTACCAATAACAGCATTTATCAAATCGATTACCTTTAAGTAATTCGTCTTCGTTGGACTTCACAGCAAATCCAAAGTCAGATATCTTAACATTTAAATCGCTGTCTAGTAGTATGTTTTCAGGCTGAAGAAAATAATTCACAATTTGATTACAACATTGAATATGTCAGTAATACAAAAACATAATTAAGTCATTATTGACAATGGAGAAAGAACTTGTTGACTTCATGATTTACAAACCTTCAGATCTCTGTGCACTATTCTCTGTTCATGCATAAATGAAACTGCCTCAAGAATTTGCCTCATGATTTTCCTGCAAATACACATCACATTTAAAGTGTTAATTTAATTATTAATATCATAGAGGAATTCTGCTTTTCTTTTAGAGGAAAAAAATCAGTTTCATTACCTGGCTTTCTTCTCTGATAAAGTGACTTCCTGAGTCAGGTAATCAAAAAGTTCACCATGACTTGCGCTATGATCAAAATTAAACCCAAATGTTTTTAGTATTTTAATAATATCCATCAGACAAAGCACTATGTTAAACATGCTGTATAGCTTGGACAATTGTTGGTTGTCCAATGTGCCTTCTGACTAGTGAAAACAATACTTGAGTACCTACATTTAATCACCTCTAAAAATACTTTGAATATACGAATTCATGTGACCTAATGATCACGTCTACTTTGTCATGTCACAACACAACCATGATCAAAATCATGACCATAACAGTCTGGCATTAGGTTTGGTTCATGTTAATTATGTCTTGCAGTATGATATGCATGTTAATGGTCTAATATTTAAGAAATATAAAACGATGCTTGTGTCTCTGTCCTCTGATATAAACACGGTTGTCAGCCAATCAAAGCGCGTGTTATATATTGAAAATTTTATAAAGCCTTATAACAACTTTTTATATAAGTTTTTGTAAGCACCATAGAGTCTTAGATATCGCACTATATAAGTGATGATGATGAATTTATAACTGAAAGGAAGCGGMGTGCAAAAGAAGAAGAAGCATGACTGACAGTTACATTGTATCATGACGACATAATAACCTATAATTTCTAATTAATCATGCATTATCAATTATTAATAATTATCAATGATGTCTAAACATAATCTATAATCATTTTTCGATCTACTTACAATTCAAACACCAAGAAGAAGAAAGCTGATGATTCAAACACATCAACCAGTTCAACTATGAAAGAAATCAACAGAAATTGTAAATTAAAAAGCAATGGGTTTCCTGTGTATCTCTGGTGGAGAGGTACTAAGCACTAAATGTTTTGTTTCCTTTTCTTCAAATTCTCAGAAATTCAAAAAGGCMAAAAAATAGGGCGAAAACAAAGAAAAACAAAAAAGTGCAATTATTTATTTGCAACAGTTAGAGTTGTTTACAGGAGGGAGTCACAAGATTTTACTTTGCCAATCACCATTTTAATATTAGATGTGTATATATATTTTATCTTCAGTCCATACAAATACGTAACCTTTTCAAACATGCAAAAAAAAGTCATGGCGTGTCAATATTATTATCAATAATGTCATGCAGACAGTTGCAGGTAATGTTTGCATTGACTAAGATGTTTCTTGCTAACCATTTAAATCTAATCAACCATGCAATATTTACTTATATGATAATATATGAATATTTACGTACTAATGCTTCGGTGTCCATGTATTGTTAATAAAATATCCACCTCATCTTTAGTTGTATCAACGATATCAACACCCCCCTGATCACTGAGTTTGTCAATTATCTTGACAGCAAATTCACCACCTGACAAACGATGAAGACAYCTGCGTACCACACTGGAAACTCCCCTGTCAATCAAATATAAAAACATCAATAAGTAATAAGCTCTTTCAACAGTTATTAATAACAAAAGTAGGTTTAATACTCCATGAAAGGATAAATAGCATACAGGTGTTTGGATGTTGGTCCTTTTTTGCCACAATTTACAGAACGACAAACAAAAAGACAAGAGAAATTCTTTGTATAGTCTTTAAAATATAACTGTTTCCTTAGCAACACAGAAACAGCTTGTGAACACAAGTTTAAATAATATCTTATGAAAATAGTACATGAATATAGATAAAATTGAAACACAGATTTATCATCTAATACCAGGGCATTTGAAAGATGTGCAATATTATATTGGACCTAAACAGTTGCCGGGATCCACAATGATGTTCTCACTCATTTACTCAAATGTTAATTTTTACGATAATTGATCAATAAGAGAATGCACTACGTCTGATCACCTACAGTGTATTTGTAAAATCTATGTCATCCTTGTGCAAGCTAAATTATTTTTCTACTTCAAATCTTAATGTTCTTGTGGTCTTATGTGCTTACAATAAGTGTAGGATAAATCCTTGCTTTTCTCCTGAGCCTACATTATTACCATGGATACAGGCTTGAGTTTTAACTTTAGGCATGTGATAAAGACCAGGGACCAGTTGTAACCTCTGAAGCATCCGTTTGAGGTGGAGTGTTAGCAAACTACCAGAAATGGTTGCTTCGGATGCTACAACTGCCCCTGGTCTGTATCATCTGTTACAAAGCCTTGATTGCTCAAACCACATAGCTTACAAAGAAAATGTATCTTACATTATCTAAACTTTAAGTGCACTTATTACAATATATTAGAAAACTATGACACTGAACATGAGCAGAAACGTATTTGACAGTGAGAACTGAAATMCTGAAAAGGGAATTTGTTGYACTKAGAAGGAACTCTGAGTTCGAAACTGAAWGTGGTACTTGAAAATGTAAACAAAGTTTATTTTTAGAAATGCCAGCAAGGGTASACAACGTCATAGCAAGGGAGGAAGAGGAAAATTAACTGAAATAAAGGAAGTWAAGAAAGAAGACGGAAATTTTCATCTCATTCTTTGAAATAAGGTTGAAAGCAACATTTCAAACTATACGCCTTGGACGCATGTAATCCACACATGAAAACCACACTGGAAGAGGTTAACGACCGCATYGTCAMATTCWGTRCATGRAGCTCGCTGMAGTCTAAAAACAATCCTAAATAATCTGTTGTTTATAGAGGAAAATATAAAATACCCAGTTTGCTTTGACTTATATAAAAACAACCAAATATGCAGTCAATTTGACTATCGTAAATATGCAAATTTTMTCACAGATGAAAACAAATTTCCATGTGGGCTGACAGTGAAATCATGTGGCCTAATTTTGGATAATGTTTCACTTCCTAGTACGGAAGAATGACTTATCACAAGGTATCATACATGAAAATGAGATTTTTGACTTTCCAGTGTACGAAATTTGTAAATTATAAAACAAATACACTATGCAAACAGAGCAAGACATATACAAATTAATAAGATTCGCGGTTCGTCGATGAAATCTCGAACTTCACCTTGAGAACATTTGCCCCACTCATGGGCACTAAAGCGGCTCTGAAATTCTGCTTCCAACGCCTGCTTTTCTATCTGTCTAYCTCTAAWGTTTCTSTCAAAAACGCTAGTMTCTTTTATGAAAGGCTAGACTTCAAATTGAACTTACGATCCAAGAACTTCTTTAGCTTCATATTTGTCAGTAAAGCCGCCTGTAGCTTCGCTTCCAACTAAACCATCGTCAAAGTCCAAAGCTGTCATTTCATGTAAACCAAACACTGACAATTCTTTTTAAACTTAAACATTTGCAAAGCCAGACACTATATAGTAGAATTCAACAGAGCAGGACTTTGGAGTTTAGGTGTACGCAATATACACCTCAGTGTCATAATCATGCGCCTGCGAACGAATAGTCAGCGGCACATTCAACCACAACAACCTGCGGGATGCATGCATGGGTGGCATCTGATTTTTACATTTTTGAAAATATTAAAATATTTAATGTTGCTAGTAAAAAACACCATCGAAAAATTTGAAACCGCTATGACTGGCTTAGATAATTTCTTCACGGCTGCACAATCTTCTAGGAATTTTTCTGGGCTGCAGAGCAGCGTAAAAAATAAGAGAATATAGTACCTGATATATGGCCGGCTAACATCACATATATGCAACTAGAAGTAACACAATTTAGCCGAGT